TTTCTTAATTAATTTATACATGTAATCAATAATAATCCAGTCACCAAGTCCACGATGCAACCTAGGAAGATTTCCCACGCTCAGTCAGCCAAGCATGAAATAGGGGGTTATGCAAACGGAATCTTCGTTTCATAAGGGGCGGATCACAAAAAAAATACTTCAAGGGGGGAAAATCAAAACTCTCCATATTGATAAGGGGATATTTAACCCTTTTTTATAAGAAAAGATAATTTAATTATAATTAGGAGTAAAAGGGGTACTCAAACCCATTACACCGACAATAACAAAAATAATGTCTTAACTCACATTGATACAATCTAATGGGGCTTAAAACCAATAATATAAAGATGAACATCTTCTATCTCTAATGCCGATAGCTTTCCAAATCCACGACACCCCTTTGATACTAAAGATAATATCAACTAATTTGCAAACCTCATTGTTGAATATGATTTTGTTTCTTGTATTCCAAATAGACCAAATTGTGACCAGCCATATTAGACAAGTCTTCTTCTTCTTGACCTTCCCCGATAGCGCTTGCATAAATTGGTCGAAGTGGAAAATATCAGCCAGATCCTCCAAAGTCTGCAAATTATGCAAATCAAGCAAGGAAAAAACATTGCTCAATAATTTCCTAGAGATAGTGCATTGAAAAATGGAACACAGTGGGGAAAGATATTTTTAGGAGGGGTCCCCTAATCCATGTCGCACACCTTTGCCCGTGGCTGTCGTGACAAATGGAACAAAGTGGGGAAAGAGATTTTTAGGAGGGGTCCCCTAATCCACCTGCAAAACCAGAACATGGTTTTATCTCCCTTGCCAAGGTCAAAATTAATGTTTCCTGCAAAATAATTAAGCAAGTTAGTTTTGAGCCAACTCACCCAATCATGTGTTTCTACCACACAGAGGCATTCTTCTTGGGCTTGAATTCATGCCCCAACATCACTGCTTGTAGAACATCACCATATCTAGCTTCCAAGATTCGCCTTCATATGTTCCCTTATTCATTTAATATTCTCCATTTCCATTTTCATAAGAGCGCTTTGTTAAAATAACCAATGTGTTTAACTCCCAGGTCGCGCTTCCAATGAAGTTCTCCTTAATATTCACCCTATATATCTTGATTTTGAAAAAATTGACCATCAACCAGGATATTAACTCGAAACCTATGAATATTTCCTTAACGCTCCATAAGTTATTCCAACAACCACTTCCCACGATCACAGTGTCATCTGCAAATTATAAAACCATAACTTCCAAATCACTGCTTACTTTATAAACTTCAAAACTCCCGATATCGGCCGCCTTCTGAACCATACCATCCAAACCTTCAACAACCAAGGTAAATAAGAAGGGTGACAAAGGGTCGCCTTTTCTTAATCCTCTCTCCACCCATAAGTCTTTAGTTGGACTCCCATTCACAAGGATAGATAATAAACTATTGAAAATACATGCTTCCATCCATTTGTACCAATTAACTCCAAATATGAACTTTTGAAACATGTTTCTCAAGAATTTCCAGTCGTAGGCCTATTGAAAGTCTACTTTGAATATGAAACATTTGTTCTTTTCCTTTCTTGCATGATCAATAATTTCTTCAAATGCCAAAACTCCATCAAGAATTTGTCTTTTGTCTTTCAGACACGAAAGTCGTTTGAGAAGATGAAATTGTACCCTTTAGGACCTTCTTGATTCTGTTGGAAAGACTCTTTGATAATATTTTGTATAAACAACTGACTAAACAAATAGGGCGATATTTATTTAAAGCATGTGGATTATTGTTTTTAGGGATTAGAGCGATGAAAGATGTTGTAATAGCCTTTGGAAGAGTCGTAGTCTTATGAAATTCCATGACAAATTTAACGATGTGCTCTTGTAAAAAGCTCCAGCATTCTTGAATGAAATTGAAATTGAAATCGTCTGGAACCAGACTTTTCTCCCCATTTGAGTCCTAAGCAGTGCTTCTGATTTCTTCCTGCATGAATTCTGAATCCAGTAAAACTCTCTCCTCATCAAAAATCAAATTGACACAAACTCCTTCCAAAGATAGTCTATCCCTAAACTCTTCCTTGAATCTACATTCGAACACCTTCAACGTCTCACTCTGCATACCATTCACATCCTCTATACAAATCCTTTCCCTTGTTTGGACCGACGCAATCGTGTTCCTCCTCCGTCTTTCTTTGATCATAGCATGAAAGTACTTAGTGTTATGATCTCCTTCCATTAACCATTTTTGCCTCGATTTTTTCTTAAAAAACTTTCTTTGAGACAAAGATGTTTCCCCAAGTCATATGTGGTTTCTCTCCTCTCTAAACCCCTCCCCTACTCCTCCTTGAATATCCGACATTGGGTCATTATCATTCTTGTCAATCTTCTTAGTAGCTTCTTCTATCCTCAAATCTATCCACCCAAACTTCTCCCTATTCCAAATTCGCAATTTGTTCCTGAGTATTTTGAATTTTTCTTTCAGCACATATGCTTGTTTTCCTTCGACATCCATATTTTTCTACTTTTCATCCACAAAAAATCTTTGAATTCTTTGTTTATAAACCAGCAGCTATTGACCCTAAATGGCTTGAGTCCCCAATCCAATTCACTAGTTTTAAGCTAAATTGGAGAGTGATCTAAAATGTCCATATCCCCTATTGTCTGCCCAACAATCTTTTATTTTCCAATCATCTTTTTTTGAAATCAAGAATTTGTCAAATCTGCTTTTTACACTATCCTCCTTATTAAACTAAGTGAATCTACTCTCAATCGACAGGACATTTACCAAATTCATGAAATATGTAAACTCATTCATATCAATAATCCTCCTCTATGTACTCCTTCCCTTTCTTTCCAACTTATCTAATACAATAACAAAAGTTTTTACAAACAAAAACATATTAAATTCAACATAACTTTGTTCAAGATCAATTGTTGATCACTAATCCAATACACTAATAATCATTTTGTTATCTATTTAATGACTATTCACATTCTTGACAAAAATTTAGTACACCAATCCATCCCTTGACACGTCTCTATATAATTAGTCCTTCATAATGTTTAGAGACAAGTGTGTCAGCTTATCACTTTGGCACTTTCCATATGCATTTCTTTAACTTCTTTATTAGAACCCAAAAGAGAAAATTAAAACATATTATTATACAATAGTTAAATCTGTCAATATATATTTAATACATGCAACTGTTCTGTAAACAGCACCACATTCAAAGCATCTTTCTAATAATAATTTAATCACAATATTCTGCAAAAACAATTATAGACCCATCAATATTGAATTGTCAGGATCAGAGCCTAGAAATCTTTTCTTAAACTTTATAAACTGGATTTTTCCTAACAACTTCTCTATAGAGTATCTTTTCCAAACCTGAATTCCACTATAAACAACTTTTTTATTCACAAAATTAATAATAAAAGTTATGAATAAATTATAAAGCTCAATGATTCATTAGGCTTAGTCACAATTTCAACACTGTGCCAACCTGGGATTCCTTTAAAATCAGTTTTTAAAAAATTAATTTTTTTAAAGGGTGGTTATAACTTCTAACCTCTAATATTTTAATCTTTTTATACTTTTTGATTTTTTTTAATTAATTTTATAAAGTAAAAAAAAAAAAATGTAAAGAGCACAGAAGCTTCTCTGCTGTTGGTGAACCTAAAAAAGTTACATGTAATAAAAAACATAAAGAAAATGCCAGAAATTATGGTTGACCCCAGCACAAGTTAATTACCAAATGTCATCATCATTGAAATTAAAAAAAATATGGGAGATTAATTTATTTAATTAATAAAATTAAGACCCCACTATATATATTACAGCTGGTTACCAACATAAATTAGCATAAGGTTAATTGACATGACATATAATGAGATTTGATGAAGACATATGAAAATTCTTTTATAAATTGATTAGATATATAAATTACTTCTTCTTTTTCTTTTTAAATGTTATTTTTTTTCTTCTTTTTATATATATGTACTGAGAAAATTAATTATTATTGCTATTTTTTAAATATTAATAATCTTTTTGTCAATAATATTTTCAATTTCTTATTATTATTTATTTGATTTTTTCTTTCTATCATAAGTTATTTTGACAAAATAACAATCATTATTATTTTAAACTTTGTAATAACACTTAAAAAGAAATATTTTTTTTATAAAAGTGACAAGAATGGAGAGAGTATATACATTCTAACTCAATAAAAAATCAATATTGTTAAGTTGAATGCTATACGCAGGGTTTGAATTCTAACACTAATGTTTGTGTGTGTGTGATTTTGAATAATTATAATTAGGGATGATAAACAGACTCACACGTTCTGTTTAGGCTTGTCTTATAAAAGTTTAAAGAAATTTGGACGGAATGAGATAAACATAATTAAGGATGTGAGACTAAAACATTGATTTGCTCCATAGTATTAAAAATTTAAAAAAAAAGTTAATTTTCACACTCGTAAAACTCTGTAAATAAACGAGACAAAATGAGACGAACATATTAAAGAATATAAACTTAAAATTTTGACTCACTCCAAAAAAAATATAGGTAAAACAGTCGTACTCTAGTGATCATATCTGATTTATCGGTTTATAATCAATTTATTAATAGTGAAGTAAATAAAAGGTAAATCAACATTTTTTTTAAATTATACACAAAACATAAAATAATTGAGAAAGTGAAGAGTGATAATGATAGGTGGTACAGAAACTCCTTTAATTAATTAGCACTATATCTTACAATTGGTGCCATAATAATAAGAATTTGCACCAAGCTCCTAAAGATTTTACAGTAAATACTTTTACAAAAGAAAAAAGAATCACCCCAAAATTAAAAAAAAATTAAAATCATAACCCTAATAGTAATAATAATTATAATAATAATGCTCAATAGTTGATGAGGTTGTTCCAATTAAATTTGTTGTGGATGTGTACAACAGCAATGTTCCTATTCCTCTTTGCTTTAATTGAGGCGTAATGACAGCTTAATTTCATAGTGGTAGTTGATTTGTCCCTGCATTGGACAAAAATATTGATGTCAACATTATATTATTTTAGGCCTAATGAAAATTGTTTACTTTTTTTATTTAATTTTTGTGTTTGGTTTATAATTACCGTTCAAATTCTGAAATTGTATTGGTGTTTTTCTATTGTCAGTTTGTCCAAATCCCATTTGAACAATTGTGTGGAGGTCATCTTCAGAGAATGTCAATGGATACTGAAAAATTGAAATTCAATGCATAAGATTAGTTACCTAAAAAACTTGCATAAAATCAAAATACATTAGACCACAAAATCACATATTTGATAAATTCGTGTGTTTTTTTTTTTTGTTTTTAACTTTATAAATTAGGTTTAAAATATGATATCGTAATTTAAATTACTGATTATGTAACCATATAATCTGAATAGTCGAATTAATGTCGAATGATTTGCGTTTTGACTTTATGAAATCTTAATGTAAATAGTTGATTTTGTTCTATTGATCGAAAATAGATAGATGGTTCTAGTTCTGGGTGATAATTGAAAATGCGATTAACATATTTTTTTTAATATAAATTGGAGAAATTGATTATTACCTGAGAAGAAGCTTCATGGAATCCATTAAGTGAAGATAAGTGCATGCCAAGGTTTTGGCATAAAGCATTTTGCTGGTGTTGTTGCCCATAAAAGGATGGTGCTGAGGAATCTTGAGAGAATATTGGGTGTGCCAAAGAATTATTTGATTGAAATATCTAAAAAAAATATAATAAATAAAAGTCAACAAATTTATAATAATAAAAAATAATATTTTTGTTCCATTAAAACAACTCAGTTGATAGCTGTGCAGAAATATCTGATTCAATTGTATGATACAGATTTGAACTAACAATATCTCAATTAAAAAAGAGATATTAAAAAGCAAATCCTCCATTGTCTAGAGCCCTTAAACTTACATCTTTTGAGATTAGGCTTTCAATACTAAAATCCACCCTTGTGTTGACAGAAGCCAATTTCATAGATAGGAACTGCAAAAAGAAAAGTTCAAACCAAAAAAATCTAAAAACTTAATGAGCAAGAAATCTTAACATCATGTGATAATATGCTTATTCCCTCTAATTTTAAAAATAAGTTAAAAAAAATAAGTATATGTAAAACTCCTAAAGTTGACATTTTTTTGAAGCATTATCTTACCTCAACTTGACGCTGCAATGATTGAACATAGTTTATAATTTCATCAAGCATAAGTGCTTTTCCAGTAACCTACATGTAATAATAATTCATAACTAAAAATTAGTAAAACAGAAAATAACCAATTAAATTCTATTAATCTTAAACTTATTGATTTTTTGTCACACCTTATTGCAACCAGGTACGAGATCTTGTAAAAGTTTCATTCTTTCGCTTATTTTCTCCCTCCTAACCTAAAACAAAATTTAATTTGATCCTGTCAAATTTCAAATGCAATTACGATCATAATATATCTGACTCAATATAACCCTCATTTAAATTCATGATTTAAAATTGTGGTTCATAAGTGCAATTAGGGTCACATGTATGACTTAACATAACTTTAATTTTAAGTCATGATTTAAAATTGTGGTCTGCAACTGCAATTTCGGTCACAATATATCTGATTCAACAGCGTAGCCCTAATTTAAAACAATGATTGTTAGTGTCAATTTTAGAATGAAAATGACAGTGAAAATTCTTACTCTTTCTGCAAGACTATGGCTGTCAGTGGCCTGGCCTCTTCTTGCTCTGACATGAATGTAATCCTTTGGAGCCTCAGGTGGTTTTGAGTTACTCTTATTCTGTTTTTCATCACCTCCATTATTACTATTTGTACCCCCTTTTGACTCTTCCTCTGCTTTTACTTTACCATTTTCAACTTTTTCACCTTCACTTGTTTTTATGCGCTTTGAATTTGAATCTTCACCAACTTCACAAGCCTTTAATTGAAAAACAAAAATGACCCTTTTGGATTTAAGATATGAAATCACCATTTTAACATAAAGGGTCAAAGAAAATCAAGTAAAAATTCAATTTTTATCTTACCATTAGAGGGTTACTAGAAGTTGAATTTTCTTTGTTTTTTCCTTTGGAAGATGCTTTTCTTTTTCTTGAATTCACATATGGAGAAGGTTTCAAAACATTTTCAGAGAATGTTGATTCTTCTTGTGAATTGTTAACTTCAATTGGATCATGAATGTTCTCTTGTGTACCAATTTGAGATTGAGATCCAAGTTCTTTCAATGATGGACTACTTGAAACTCTAGAGAGTTTTCCATTTTCCATCAATGGAGTAGATCTTTGACTTTGACTCAATTGTGTTGTTCTTCCATTAAAACTCCTACTTCCAAAGCAAGAGAATTTTGCAGCTCTTTCAGCAAAACCAGGATCAGTTGAGAATTCGGCAACTGTTGAGTTCAAACTCATGTTTTGAATGCTCAATTTAGGAGGAGAATTCAAAGGGGTGTTGTAACATGAAGTGTTGTTATTGCTATTGATGTAAGAGTTTGCAGCAACCAAAGTGTGTGAGATCTCATCAGAACAATTACCAATGTTTCCCAATTTTCCAATCAATTCTCTTATGACAAAGTTTTCATTTGACATGTTGGAATTGGAAGCTGCTGGTGAAGATCCCATTGAACTAAGTGCTGAATCAAATTGATGAACACATTGATCTGTTGGTGTGTAGAAACAATCTTGATTATTCTTTTGTTGTTCTGATGTAAGTGAAAGTGATTGCCATGTAAGATGTGATTGTTCATAATGAAGATTAGTGTTTGAAAAGAATTGGTTTTCCATCGAGGTAAAAGTGAAAAAAGAAAAATTGAATCGACCTTATTTAAATAGGATCTGTTCTATAGACTCGTACTACTGTATCTTTGATTTCTAAGAAGACACGTATTAAAAAAAAGTCGAACAAATAAAGTTGAAAGATGAAATTGGTATTATGAATATGAATGAATCACTTACATTTGAAAAAAAAAAGGTGAGTTTGGTGATGAGGTTGAAGTGATGAATGAAAAGAGTGAAATAGGTGGGATGTGAGTGGAAAGAAGAGAATTGGGTTGGGTGTGAAAAGGAAAATAGATCAATTGGTAAATAAAAAAGGTAAGGAAAAGTGAAGAGAGAGAGAGAGAGAAAAGGAGAAGGGGATTGATTTAGTTGTGATAGGGGAGACTATATATAGATCCAAGCAAGAACAAGGTTGAGTTTAGTTTCTCAATGTTTGACCTTTTGTGTTTTTGGTGTTGTTTATAATAGTAATAGTACTATTGTTTCTTGTGTTGGATTGTATAGTAGTTGTAGTCAGTAACTTGTTACTTTTGTTTTTCTATTTCAATCTTTCTCATTCTATGTCTATTGTGTAGATACATTAATGTTAGTGTTTGTACTCTCTTCTTTTTTATATATCATGAGGTCTTGTAAATTAGACATTTCTAATAAACTAGGTTTTTTAAATTTTGATGGAATATATTATTTGGTTTAGCATGTAAAAGTATATGTGATTAATCTTTTAAATAAAATTGGTTACAAAAATTTTGTGGTTTTATTTATACTATCTAATTGGAACAAATGATTTTATTCATTGTACTTGCACATTGATCAAACTAGTCAATATGAAGAAAAATGTGTGTTAAGAGTTCAATTTGTTATCAAATTTTGAAAGGATTTGTGTGTCATGATGAATGTAGAAAGAGTTCAATGACTTGTGGAGTTGTCATAGGGCTTTGCTTTTGTACACGTGGGATGAATTAAACACATCATTTTTGTTATGGAGTATAAATAACAAACATGTCAATTTTTTTAAGTAGAAGACATAAAGCTTAATGTATGATGTCACATATTTTAAAATAGAGGAAACACTCATGTATTATTCACATAAATAGATAAATGAAGGTAGATCATTCTTAAGTCCAGTTGATTTTTATATAGTAGATAATTTTTATTATTTATAACCACTAACGAATGATAAGTATAACCAAAGTAGTTTTCAATTTGGACATGTACATAAGACAAAGAGGCCACCTGAGGCATTAAGTAAAATTAAACACAAGTATCATCTTATGGTAACACTGTACAGACTAAAAACACATGTTTAATTTTTCTTTGTTTTTCATACTATTTCTTCTTCATCGTTCTATTTCGTATTACGAAGAGTTTTCATCCAACATAATTGTATGTTTTTGAAATGGATCTCAATTATCATATTTGTTTTATGTATGACACTAATTTTTCTTAAAAAGAATTTTCATTTGACATGATTTTTTTATTTTTTAAAATCTCAATTTTTGAAATGGGATCTCAGTTAATATATATATATATATATATATATATATATATATATATATATATATATATATATATATATATATATATATATATATATATATATATATATATATATATATATATATATATATATATATATATATATATATATATATATATATATATATATATATATATATATATCATGTATGACACTAATTTTAGAAATGATTTTCTTGTTTTTTCGATTTTGAAGATGATAGAGACCATATCTATTAACTAATTATACTATGCATAAACATAACTTCTGCACACTTTAAACACAAACTATATTTATTTTATGACCACAACAACATATAAAATGCGATAACTGATTATTTACAAATCTAATTTATGTTTTCCGTTTATATTTTGAAATCTGGTTCAAGAGTTTATGTTTCCAAATCTGTTTACATTTGACATGATATTTTTTGACTTGTAGGATTTAAGAAAGCGCACATTATTGGTGTGGTTCACAAATGGTTTGTGATGCTATGGAGAAACAATACGACAAGTGTGAAGTTGTTTTAGAAGCTTCATCCACCTTGTATTTTTTCTTCATAACAACACAAAGTAGATCAACTTCAGTTCATTATGAGACAAGTAGATCATTTCTTCTTCTTTATTTTCCATGAATCTTTTCAATAAAAGGTGTGTTTGTGAAACATTTATGAATTGATATGTTGTTGTTGTTTTGTTGATAAATGATGCTATATGTTGTTGTTGTTTATAAATGTTTCTTAGAACAAGAACAAAATATTGGTAAGTCACACAAAAAAACCTTTTTGTGACTTAACAATGTTTTGTTTTGTGAATCTTGCAGCATTAATTTCTTATGTAGATTGATAAAAGATTCAATTGAGTTTATTATATTAAATGTATATTATTTTTTTCATTAACCTTTCAGAGGACACACATTAGTTTAAATTGATTTAAGAAATAATGATCTAAAAATTAAATTATATTTGAAAACCAACTTAGATAAATCAATGTTTTTCGAATTTCATACATATTGTAACTCATCTCTTGCTCTTTAACATATAGAATTTGGTTCAATGTCCTAAGTTTTTCATAGTAATGATTCCTTCTCTTATAGCTTATTTTAAAAAGCATCAATTTGTTGACTAATTCAGACTCATCATCGTCATTATCATCATTATTATTATTTTAAATAACATTGATGATTACTATGACGTTGCGATGATGATGAATCCGAATTAGTCAACAAATTGATGTTTTTCAAAATAAATTAGAAGAGAGTGAATTATTGCTATGAAGATCTTAGGTCATTGAACCAAATTATATATGTTAAAGAGCGAGAGATGAGTTATGAGATGCATGAAATTAAAAAAATAATGGTTCGTTTAAGTTGTTTTTAAAGAATAATTTAATTTATATGATTATTATCTTCTACATCAATTTGAATGGTTGTATATGTTTAGTGAGGCGTAGGGAAAAAACACACACACACACACCACACACACACACACACACACACACACACACACACACACACACACACACACACACACACACACACACACACACACACACACACATATATATATATATATATATATATATATATATATATATATATATATATATATATATATATATATATATATATATATATATATATATATATATATATATATATATATATATATATATATATATATATATATATATATATATATATATATATATATATCACAATGGTTGCTTAAGATAAATGTTGTGATAGGAAACACGTTACTTAGTTTATCACCACGGTCACATGTCCGTGATGGAAAGCAACATACTTACAATCACATGCTACCTAACAACAGGCGTACAAATGTTATATATGTATTTCACAATCGTTGTCATATGTGTTTTTCGTAGTAGTGGTACCAATATCATCCTTAATGGCTTTGATGACACCTAGATCGATTGTTGGTTATGTTGTTGAACATCCATGGATCACACATTCATTTTATCAATTTAATATGTTGTTACATGTGATTGGAAAAATTCGTTAGACAACTCGTTAAATAAGATGTTTCAAAAAGATACGAGACATTTTCTCTCAAAGAACTTCATGGCACAATTGTGGAAGGAAACATGTTAAGTAAAATGTTTTAGAATTAAACAAGACATCCTGTCTCGAGCTGCTTACTTGGTGTGAAACTTTTAGTGGATTAAATCTCGCACTTTCAAGATTTGTTTACTTTTATGTTCAATCAAATATATGTTTTTAAAGCGTGTACTCGTTTGGAAAATATTTATTTGAGTCCGTTTTAGATATATTGGAATTCTTATTCATATCATATTTAGATTTAATCACTACTGCAAAAAGCGCTTTTAACGTCGGTTGTGAAATACATTTTACCTCGGCTAAAGAAGCGAAGTAACGAAGGTCGTCATAAAAAGTTGCCACTTATCACCATAGTGTTTTAAAAATCGAGAGGTAAATTTATTTTCACATGGTTTCGAACTTCAGTTTCTACACTTTTATTATTTACAAAACTAACGTCTCAACTATCTCGGTTAAACAATAAAACTGAGGAGTGAGTTAGATTATTATTTTTTAATTTAAACACATTATATTGTTTACATATAAAAATTAATAAAATAATTTGTTTACAAACTACAATATTTACCCAAAATATTACATTGTTTACACATAATAATAAAATAAAAATTAATGTGTCTATAAAGATCATATGTTGGATCTTTAAATCCTTGATATGCTGAGGAAGATCAAATGTTGGGTGCAAGTATATTCTCAATGGTTTTTCCTTTGTATTTGTTTCTGATATAAACAAAAAAAAAAAGGTTAGACAAAAAAAAAGGTTAGATAAATAAATAATTTTCTGCTGAAATGAATAATTAAGAACACAAACCTTATATCCAAATAATTTTCTACTCTTGCAATACATCATATAGAACTCTTCATGGCAAAAAAATCTTGCAAACCTTAAAGTGGAGGATAGTTTCAAGCGCTTCATGATGTTTCATTATTAATTTTTGATGTTCATGATGCTTTTATAATAGAAGTTATTTATGTTTCATACAGATGACTAATGATAATTTCTTATGTTGAGATATTAAATATAATATCAAATATAATCTAAGTTAGATATGTTGAGATATTAGATATAATATCAAAAATAATCTAAGTTAGATATGTTTAGATATTAGATATAATATCAAATATAATATAAATTAGATATGTTGAGATATTAGATATAATATCAAATATAATCCAAGGTAGAAAACCCAAGCCCAATTAGGATAATATATAAATAGTCATAGTTTGATCCACAACACCGCTGAACCGATCCAGAGACATGTCACTCTCAACAAAAGCTTGATCCAACACTCTCATCAGAGATTCCCGATGGTAGAAGAGTTCATAAGCAAGGCTAGAATGAAAATATTAGATGGAGTTTGCAACAATTGATCTACAATCTTGTAGTCACTCATCTTGATAATTTTCAACAAGTCATCCATATCATTTTCCAAAGCATTGCCACTAGATTCTCCCACCACTTTCTTTGGTTCAGTATTCTCAACAATCTTTTTACCAGAATTAATGTCCCCTCGAAAAGTAGGGGCGAAGACTCGACCACTGTGGGCTACCTGACTAGCTTGAGAAATATTCTTGATGTTAGATAAAGGTTGGATAGGTATTTCCACACCATCTTCCATGATAGTCACATTGTATTTATAAGGCACAACTTTGTCTGATTCATACGGGACAGGACCAGGCAGACAAATAACCACTGGACCAATAGCAGGCTTGCTATGATACTCAATCTCTACAGGAGCAGGAATACCAAAGTATGAA